ACTTGGATTTAAAGCATTGAATGATGTTTACTTGAATTGTATGCATAAGTCTATCACTAAAGCTCAAAAAAAGTCCATGTCTCCTTGAAAACTTTACTTGCCCTATAATTCAATTTTAAGGAAAGGTTTCTTGTTCAGAAGGTACACCTGTGTTTTAGCTACGCTCGCACAGATGACAACTCTATTGAAGCTTGGTCTTGAGCAAAGGGAAGCAATTGTGAAATATTGTCATTACAGTAAAGGCATAAATGGATAGGAATATAAGCAAGTCTCCTGGCTTAACATGTGAGCTTTTCCTTATGTCATCAGAATGTTCTTGATTATCTCAACAAGTATTTGTGAAATTTCTTCCCAAAATTAATTTTTAATTTGATTTACTGGAATTTAACTGTTTTTATGATTTTGTCAACTTAATTTGATTATTTCTAAAGACATATGAACCTATTGCAAGGGAGAAAATCCAATAAAACTACAGTTTCAATTCCATACATACTATTGGACTTTTCTACAAATTTATAGTTAGTTCCTGTAGAAACATCCTTTTTTTGACTGAGTGGAAAGGAGTGACAGGGTGAAATCACTAACGTGACTATCAGCCTTACATTTGGGAGGAATAAAAATAACCTTGTTTCAGTGAAGCGTGGAATTTAATTGGCTCCTGATCTTTTTCCTTCATGCATCTGGTGGCCAGTACTACAGTAGAAAAATTTAAAACTAGAAGGAGACATAATCCAATTAAATTTCCTTTTAAAAATGTCAAAGCAAATAAATCCAGAGCCCATGAGCTCAGACACAGCTTTGCTATTCTCACTGGGCAGCTGCTATTTACTGGGTTTCCAACCAGTGCCATCTTTGCTTCCTATTTCAAGGGTTTGTAATTTTGCAGATCAGCAGCTACATTTTTTCACCATTGATGAACAAGTAATTTATTGCCAACTTGTTTGACATCTTAAGTAGCTCTAGTGACAGCCAGCTTGGAAGATGTCACAGGGACCTCTTGCAAATGATGATTCCCAGCCATTTTAGAGTCATGATTTTGTATCATTGTTGAATTTCATTCTCCATTTCACAGTTCTTTTTTCTTCCAGAAAATGCTATGTGGTGCATATTGTTTATGGTCCAGATTAAATTGAATTTTTCTTTGAAATTTGTGCACTGTCTCTTGAGTTCTCTGGAAATCACATTGGAAACTCTGGATCCATCCACAGTTTGTCAGGAAGTTGCTTTGTTCCAAGCTGTGCTATGACTCTCATAGACATTTTATTAGTTTTGATAAATATAAAATTGCATAATGTCTTTGTTTGACTTCCTATAGAAACCACCTTGGAGAAAAGGATTTGAGTATAAATGTTTTTTTGTTTTTTTTTGTGGGATGGGGAGTGAAAGGAGCACTAGTAAGGGAGTGGGGAAATGAGAAATGGAAGAAAAGGAGCTTACACAGGGCATATAATCAAACCAGTAACAAATGTGGATGACTAGATCTTAATGCCTCTGGGAAATAGGAATCCAGTGGCCGGCATGTAACTCATAGTTATCCCACCCAAAGGGCAAGGTAGCTGTGTTATTCATCCATCAACTCCCATCAGTCCTTGTTTGAGGGCTGCTCCTGAAGTAGGGGGAAATAATTAATTCCCAGGCACTTGTGGCATGTCACAGGGGCAGCCAAAGCGGGCCTCAGAGGCCAAAGAAAAGCTCCCAGACAAAGGAGCACGGGTGCTGACAGAAGTCAGGCTGGGGTGCTCCAAGAGGAAAGGGTGAGGGAATCAGGAAGGGTGTTGGCAAAGCCTGCTACACAAAGATATTTAAGATTCTAACAGCCACCATTAGGCCATTACGGGGGCTGTTTTACAGAAACACAAGCAGGTTTGTCCTCATCTGGAATGGGGGGATAGACTGCTATGGATGAGCTCTCCTGTTGTAAAATTACCGTGCAGTTATTTCCAATTAAAATTTACATGTACTGCTGGGAAACAGTATATGAAGTGTGATCAAAAGATATGGTGAATGTTTAAATTAAAAAAAAAATATTACAGTAAAGGGCACATTGCCATTAATCCCCCTCAAGATATCCCCCCTTACTTCAAACACACTTATCCCATTGTTCTTGCCACTTTCTGAAGCAGTTCTGGAAGTCCTCTTTCATGAGTGTCTTTACTTCATCCTCCATCATGACAATACTCCATGTCACACACCACTTCTGGTATGGCAATTTCTGTCAAATAAAAACATTACAGTGTGTCCTCATCCACCTTATTCACCGGATCTGGCACCGTGCAACATCTGGCTCTTCCCTAAAGTAAAAATGACCATGAAAGGTGAACATTTTGAATCTATTCAGGACATTGAGGCAGCCACGACAGCGCAACTAAAGACACTTATGAAAGTGGACTCCAGAACTGATTCAGAAAGTGGCAAGAATGATGGGATAAGTGTGTTCAAAGTGAGGGGGAGTATTTTGATGGGAACTAGTGGCAATGTGTCTTTTACTGTAATAAAACTTTTTAATTTAAACATTTCATTGTATTTTTTATCACACCTCATAATCTGGAGTTTTCTTCACATTTTGTAGTGTAGGATGAATAAAAGGTCAGTGAAGACAAAGGATATTTTAACTGACTGCCTAGTACTTGTGAAAAATCTCCCTCAAATTGAGGGTTGGCTACAATTCTGGTAACAAGTCCAGTATGTTGGTTCTTTTCCCATACCAAGTAATTCTTTTTTGTTTTGTTTTGTTTTAATTAAAATTTATTGGGGTGACAATGGTTAGTAAAATTACATAGTTTCAGGTATACAATTCTGTAACACATTAGCTATGTATCCCATAGTGTGTTCAATAAGTAATTCTTGACAACAGCTGGGTGTCCTATGGTTCAACTCAGTTCTGACACTATCTACCTGGAGATCCCACAGGTTAAGGGTTCAGTCCTGTGAGACTTCCTCCCCTCTTCAGACACCATTCACATGTCCAGGTTGTCAACCTGTGCTTCTGACCAACTGGCTGTAGATTGGAGACTCCCACAACCCCCTCCTTGGGTTTGATTAATTTGCTAGAGAGGCTCACAGAACTCAGAGAAACATTTTACTTAGTAGATCACTGATTTATTATAAAAGGATATAACTCGGGAACTCCAAATGGAAGAGATGCTTAGGGCAAGGTGTGGGAAAGTGTGAGGAGCTTCCATGTCCTCTGCAGGAGGGCCACTCTCCCTGCGCCTCCACGTTCACCAAACCAGAAGCTTGGAGGTTACTGCAATAATAGGACTTCAGTATGTCCCTCTGAGAAGACACAATTCAACTTCTAACACTGCCCCTTTCTTTCTGACCACTTCAAATCCGTTACCTTCCAGGTATTGTGTGTTCTGCAGTCACATCTTTCAGATGCGGCGCTTATTCATCCCAGCTTCAGCTGCCCTAGTTCCGCCACAGTCATCTCTCCCCAGGATTATTACAGTAATGTCCAAAGTGACTTTCCTCCTTCATTCTTCATACATCCAATGAGTTATCTAATTCATTTCTAATCAGACTTTTCTGGCTGAAACCCACCAGTGACTTTCGCCAACCACAGCATCAAGTATAAACTAGCACAGAAGCCCGCACATTTGGCTTTATCTTTTCCTTCCAACCATCTTTCTTGCCACTTTGTACTATGTGCTCCAAACTACACTAGGCTACTCATCCTTTCTGGAAAATAGATTTCTAGGTCTCCAGGCCTTCGCTTGTGCTGTTCCCTGTGCCTGGAACATCCTTCATCGCTTAAATCCCCTGACAAACTGCTCCTTATCCCATAAGGTGCAAATGAAACATCACGTACTCAGGTTGCTTCCACAGTTCTGTCACATAGAATTATTGAGTCCGTACTTGTGTTTCTGTGATACCTTATGACCCTGGATACTAACTTAGCATTAGGAAACATATAGCACTTCTTATATAAAACAACCTTGATGATACAAATATAAGCAGCCACAGTTATGGACTTTCCCCCTCTGTTGATATTAATATTAATTGACTACTCATTGCAGCATAAACAAAAAGTGTGCATGTGCATATGTGCACATATATAGATTTATATATACAAGACTTTTTGAAATCTCTTTGAATCATGTTTATTACTTATATAATTTTGTTGCAACCCACCTCATCAAAATAATTTTTAAAACTCTCTAGAGTGAAGGTATTTATTTTCTGAAATTAGCAAATGTATATACACATATATGTATGCTATATGTTATATATAAAGTACATATGAGTATATATTTATGACTACATATATATAAAGTATATATAAAGTAGCTTATCCCCAAGAGCATACTGTGAATGATCCAGTGCTCTTTCCATTGTTAGGTTGAAGAAATAGTAACTAAGCAGCCAGTACAGATAGCAGTTTGGATTGTAAAACAATGAGTTTTTAATAAAGTATAGGAGGAGATATCATTGCAGTAATGCTGTATAACAAACAGCCTCCCCCCCATGTCAGTGGTTCACAACAACAGACATTTATTTTTCTTGTCCTTGGGCCTGTAGGTCAGCTGGGTTGGGCTCCAGCTTGGCCTGTTTCGCCTGCCATTCTGACTGGTAGCATCTTGGGCCATGTTCTTTTCATGGCAATGGCAGAGGCACAGAAGGCCAAGCCAGATCATGCCAGCACATTAGGTCCTTTGTTCGTGGTATGTCTGCTAACATTACATAGGCCAAAGCCAGTCATGTGGCCAGGCCCATATCAAAGGGACAGGAAAATCAACTCCATGGAAGGCGCTACAAAGTCCCATCTCAAAGAGCATGGGTGATAATTCTAATACAGGGAGGGATGAAGAATTGACCATAAGAATCCAATATACTACAGAGTCCTCGTGATCCAAAAGTGGACGGTAGAAATGTCTGCTCTGAAAATTAACTGTTTGCCAAGAGCTTATGTAACGACAAGAAACAATTTGATGTTGCATCTGCAAAACTGAGCTTTGAAATGTGGTTCTAATTATATCCATCTTTGTTTTCTTTTCTAGAGATATGACGATGTGTCAGTCGGGATGCCATCACTTATTCCTTTGAAATACATTGACTATTTAAAATTTTTCAATGACGTATATGGCATAGAGGAGCAGTAACATGCCAGTTTCACTCAATTCCCTTTGATTTTCTGCTCTAATTTTGCCAAGTTTCTTTCAGGAGATATAATTTCATTAAAAACAAAAAAGAATCACGGCTGATATTGAATTGAAATCCATAAACTACAATTAATCTCCTTTTGTCATTTTAGTTTTTCATAACATGATATTATATTGCCGATGTACCAGCACTAATAAAAATGTCATATAAAGGAACATTGAGCATTTTTATTATATGTGTGATTTATTAATACCAAAGAATCTTATGGTAATTTTGTAACCAACATAATTTGATTTATTATAACACAAAAGTAAAATGACTTTTGACAGCTCTGTATGAAAATATAAAATCAAATTATATCAGAGCAGTAAGTTGTTATTCTATTAAACATTTTTTGAAATCTTTTTGACACATTTGTTAGTTATATAATTAAACTTTGTAGCAACCCATCTTGTCAAAACAATCCTTAAACCTCTCTAGAATGAAGATATTTATTTTCTGAAATTAGCAAAGCTATGAGAAGAAAAAGACTCCTCGCAACACACACTCAACACACGTAAAAATTTGGGAGAGAAATGGAAACATATGCAGTGTTTATATTTTTAATGCCCTTTTTATATCTGAAGTTAGCTGTTAATTTAGGAATATATGCATGTGTATATAATTTTATTATGGCCAAAAATGTATGATGCCTGAAATATTTAGGGATGTGAATGCTGAAGGGTTTGGGAGATCTTTTTGGTTCTTTCTCCACACACACATACCACCCACCCATGAGGTTTAAATATTCTAAGACTACGTTTTCCTCCTGCATTTCTCTAGTTCTATTTTTATTTATCTTTTAGGCCTATACATTATAAGTCTCAGCAGAACTTTTGTCATGTGGTATATATTTGATTAACACTCATAACCATGGAACTCTGGCAATTCATTATGAGAAGTTTGTCCCAATGTACCCCATTCTTCAATCTTGAGTGCTGTGTATTGTTAAGTCCAGTTGCCTGGTGTTCTCAGAGACAATTGAAGCCGATGGAAAACGGCCTTTGACCTTTACCTTTCAGGGACTGCTGTGACGAGAGGAAGAGGAACTTGATGATACCCCAAGGATCCTTCTATGTCATTATTCTTTCCCATTTGCGGTATATTGCCTAGAAATGAGCTGGCTTCTTGGCACTCAGATGTACCAATTTGCTCGACAACAATGGCTCTTTCATTTTTAAAATTGAAGTTAATCAATAAATTATTTATATATATAAACCTAGGATAATTCTACATGCGCCTTGTTAGAATAGACCTCATAGGACTTTCCAATAAACTAGAATACCCAATTTACTCATATATAGTAGAATCTTTTACCCATAAAATACAATTTTTGACTACTTGGTTTTTGTCCCAGTTTTTTTTTAAGACAACTGAACAGTGCCAAGCCATTTTGTCACTTTAAGATTTTCCATTCCTTAGAGAACGAGCTTTTATTTATTTATTTTTTTTAAGCTGAGCCATCCTGCCGCCTGTTGGCAGCTCAGCGGCTGCTCAGCTCAGGCCAGGCATCGAACCGCTGTTGCTCAGAGCTCACACTTTTTTTTTTAATGAAAAACGTCCTCCTTTTAGAGCTCACACTCTTGAGCGAGCTCTTAACCAACTGAGCCACTCGGCCGGCCCTAAGAACAAGCTTTTAGGATGACACTTTCCTGGAACTTTTCAGGGTCACATATTTGTCTCTTACCTATTCACTTCTTCAGTTAGTTGTCTTTCCCTCAACATTTGAAATATGTAGACAATTTAGCTCTTGTACAGGCTTGTAATATAATTCATTTGAGAAGTAGGAGGAGAAAAGGAAAAGAAGCAAACCAATGATTTGCTCCTGAGTTTGTAGGATGACCAGTGCTCATTCTATTGCATAGATGTTAGCCGCTGACTGCCTTGGTTATTCGAAGTTCAAGCCCACAGTTAGCAATTAAATGGCCATTACAGGAATCATGCCGATAAACATGATACATTGCAGCCATACAGACACTTTAAATAATTATTCTTTTTATAACTAAGCCATATACTGAAGGAGATTTATAATTTAGAGATAATATCCCCATTAGTAAAGTTTATGACCCAATAAACAGCTCCCACTATAGTAATAGAATTTCTGTACCTCCCTCTTTTGCTGGTGGTCTCAAGGTACTGAAGGGAAATGCTATCTTGGGAAAAGCACTTATTCTCATTATGTAAATACGAATGAATTGTCTTACAATTAAACTGGAAATATCCCTTCCCCCACCGCCTTGGTCCCACTTAGTTCCGAAATGATGATGCATTCTGCTTAGGTTTCAAGAAGTAGATATCTGGGTCAGCACAAATAAATTCTGTGACTTAAATCTTTGGGGGTGGTGGGGAAGACTCCTGGAATTTCTATCTCTTCCCTCTGAATAAGAGAAATTCCAGCTATTTCCATTATTCCAGAGTAACAATTTTTAAAAGTTTCACAACCTTTGCATACACTTAAATTTTTAGCTGCCTCTTTTGTCTGAACAAGAGAAATCCCAGCTATTATCATTGTTCCAGGGTAATACTTTTCAAAGTTTTACAACCTTTGTATAGACTTACATTTTTAGCTGCTAACGTTTTCTCATTTCGATGGAAAAGCAAGTGCTGCCTGTGAATGCCTGGGTGAGTTGAAGGTTAATATAGGCAAGTCTTTCGTACTAAGCATGAATTGTTTTTTAGTATTCCTGCAACCATGGGAATGATTGATAAAGTTATTTGAGAGCCCAAATAAAATCGTCTTTTCATAAGAAACTGATTAAAGGCTGTTGAAGTTTACATTAAATGGTTTGCTGAGTCATTGTTGTCAAGTATGGATGTTGTCAGCAGATGACTAATTTCCAGTGTTTATTTGCCTTTTTCCCCTTTTTAACCTAACCGTTAATTTGAACTGTTTGGACCTGTTTGAAAAGTAATGTGGGGAAGCCTCTGGGTTGACTTTAGTACTTACAAAAATAGTTAAAAGTTTAGACAATAGAGAGGGAATGAAGAGCACTGTAACTTTCAAATATCAGGATAGTTTAAACATCTTGCCTACTTTATTCTGTGTATTACCTTTGATCCAATTAATGCCAGACATACCATTTCTTGGTCTTTCTTTGGTTTTTGTATGCTGTGCTATTTGAAGTTTCGTTATTTGGGGTTGTAGATATAACCAAACAGAAAGAGAGTTCATCCTTCCTGGCACACAGTAGAGCCAAACTGAACTCTGAAAATTGCAGTGGAGAAATTAGGGTTGTTTTATTGCGAGGCCACTTAAGGAGAATGGGGAAGCTATTGCTCAAAAGTCCAACAAACTCCCCCTGATGACTTCCAGAGGGTTTTAAGGAGTTAAGGAGCACAGGTATGCGGAAGCGCTGGTGGGTTGAGTTTTAAATAGAGGAACTTGAAACTTGGCCATTTATGGTCAAGGCAGAATTCTTGATTCATCCTGAAACCTAATTTTTCTCTGGTTTATTCCAGCACAATGAATGACAGCACCATCCATCTAGTTGTCAAAATGACCCAATCCTAATTTTTATTTCTTCTTCCCTATCTCCAACATTCTTAATATATCATGAATCTATCCACTTCTCACCAACCTTACAACCTCACTGACATTTCATTATTCCAAACCACCCAGCATGTCTCTGGCCACAGCCTCCCAGTCAGCCTCCTCACCGCCACACTCACTCTTGTAGTTCACACACACAAAGCAGCCAGAGATTTGTAAATACAGACACGATCTTTGTATTCTCCAAATAAAAATCTTTCAGTAACTTCTCATGCCCTTTGCATGAAGCTTAAATTCTTGAACATGAGTTACACACACAAGGTGGTCCCTATTCTCATCCTGACGCCCCTCAGCAATTGTCATCTCTTTCCACTTAACTTTCTCTCCACACTCTGGTCATAGTTAAAACCGGGGATATCTGAAGCAATTTGAAATGGCTTTTCAGTTCCTGTTCTGTATTCAGTGAGTGGCCTCAGCAGTAATGAAGAGCAGTAGTAGCAAGGGAGAAAAAAGCAGGCAAAAGTAATTTTATCTCATCCCTTCCCCTTCTCCCTCATCCCCACCCCCTCCCAACTAGCAACCCTCAGTTTTTCCTCTGTGTCTCTGAGACTATTTCTGTTTACATTTCTCATTTATTCAGTTCTTTAGAACACACATATAAGTGAGATCATATGGTATTTGTCTTTCTCTGACTTATTTCACTTAGCATAATGTTCTCTAGGTCCATCCATATTGTTGCAAATGGTACAATTTCCTTCTTCTTTATAACTGTGAGTAACATGTCTTGTTAGGGAAACCACTTCATGGACGGTGCAGAGGCCTGCACTGTACATCTGAAGCTGCCGTTGAATAATATTGTATGTCAACTATAATTTAATACACATATAGTCACGGGACATGGAGTAGAGAGTGGGAATGGAGCCAATGGAATTGTAATAGATGTGTAATATCGGGGGTGAGGGGGCAGTGGAATACGGGGAGGGGGGTTGTCACTTTGTGAGGGTGAAAAGGATAACTATTGCATTGTTTTGTACGCCTGAAACTAATAATAGTTTTTAAAAATGTTAAAAAAGTCATTTTATCAAGTTCCTGTTTTGGTCAGATCTTCTTATATAGGCTCAGTAGGAAAAAGGAAACACAAAGATAACTGGTGGAACTATGTCTAAAGGAGAATGCATTTTCTGTTTTTCACCAAATCATCAGCCTCTCTGGATTTTAATATGGTGGGGTCATAGCAAGCATTCCTCTATTGTTGGCTTTACACAGATGCAAAGCAGTACTCAAGAAACTGGAGGTGATGAATAGTTGGTCTGATGTGTTCGAACCATTCACCACTTTGAGTTAAATGTGCATTTCTGTTCAAAGTAGACAATGGGGAGAGGCAGCTCCCCTTTCCCTCTGTAACTTGCACAACCTCAAGCCTCACTGCTTAAACTAATGAGTATTTAGAAGGAAAGGCTCCTACTGATTCTAGCGAGTCATTAAGTTTCTACTTGCAGAGCCGCCATGGACTTTTTCATCCGCCACATTTTTCAGCCATTTCCAGTTGCTTCTGAGCAGCAGTGCTGACCCTTGGGTTCCTGTGCCATGACCTGACATATAATGAGCTCAAAAGTCCCGTTGGAAACAATTTTACTGAAGACCAGGAACAAATGCACAGATGCACATTCTAGTCTC